TCCACCTGATTACCTTGGGGCCCGCCACGGTCCAAAAAAAAAAAAAACAGAACACAGTTCCATTTTGGCAGACCTGAACTGAATGGACCAGGAGGTAATCGGATGTAAATGAACACTTGTCCGTTTACATCCCACTGCCCATAAACCTAACATGGGTCTGGTTAGTTCAGTTTTTTCCTCCTCTTTTTGTCTCCTATCACAAGATGGAGGAAAAACCTTAACAAACACGTATGTCATAAACGTGACATCTATTCAATACTTCTCTGATCAGCAGGGGATCTGTGCACCAGGGGCCAAAGACGGAATACAATTAAACAAATGGTGTATGAATAGGAGTTGCAATGGTCAAAACAATAATTTGGTCAGAGGGTGGCAGAGGAGGGAGCAGAGTGACAGACAGATGAGCTCATTAGCCTGCTGATTCTCCTTTCACTACTGTGTCACAGGTTGGAGAAAGGACAAGACCTGCAAGTGTCACCTAACTGCAGCAGAAAAATATCAGGCCTCCTGCCTTGCTAGACAGGGCTGTGCTTTTTGGCAGAGATGAGTAAATCTTAGGGCGCAATGGGTAGAAATACAAATACTTTGGCAGATAAAACAGCTCCCTTTTATGTATTTAAAGACTAGTAAAAAAAAAAAAAAAAACCTACTGAACTGCAAGGGTTAACTGCTTGTTTTTGTCTAGGTAACCTGTGAAAAGGACTTTTACTGTCCCGATCCTGCTCCCTCAGGCTCCTACAGCCTCTTCCCTCCTGTGCTCTGGTGGTCAGAGACCAGGTGATGTTATGACATACATAGAAGGATATACGTGTAAGGACGCCGAGGGACAGTTCACAAGGATGGGGAGAGTTGAGTGCTGACCCCTGGGGGAGCAGTGATCAGGTAAGTAAAAGTCTTCTTCACTATAAATGAGCAGTAGACATGTAAGCTGCGGAAAAATTTGATTTGGTTTAGATATTTCGGGATTCGGATCTGAAATTCAATTTGGTTCGGGTTTCGAATTCGGACGAAATTGGAATTTTCATTCGTTTCGGATAAGTTTCCGAATATTCGTTGCGAATACCAAGAAAACCATATACAGATACTGTATTAATACTAAAGCTTATTCTCCAAGACCTGAATGACATTCGGATCCGAATTTCCGAATTGCATTTAGGAGCTCCCAAATGCCATTCGGGTTTGGGAGCCATATACATATATTACTAAAGCTTAGGCTCCCAGACCCAAATCACATTTACAAATGCAATTCAGAAATTTGGCCACCAATGCCATTTGGGACTAGGAGCCTTAGCTTTAGTATTATATGTATATACTGTATATGGCTCCCATGTTGCCGTAACAAAAATTCGTGTTCAGACCCATTTGGATGCATTAAACAAAAAAACACATCCGATTGGCCAGATAAGTCACATGTCCAATTCCGTTTCGTTTTTGAACAAAATTCGGATGGGATCCGAAATTCGGGAACGGAAATATGGATTTAGACACATTCGGATGCATTGGGATTTGGGAATTCGGGTGTGTTCGAATGTCTGAATTTCTGAAAATTTGTCTGAATTTGGATTCCGAATGAAACAAATTGCACATGTCTAATGAGCAGTTAACTCTTGCAGTGCAGATTTACCTGGTGATAGGCATTAAACTGTGTATTTAGCTGTCTGATCAAAGTGCAATCTGTGGATATCTAAATCTGTATACATCAATTATTAAAAGCAAAACTGCAAACAGATTTAAAGCTTCCCAGAGCTACACAAGACTGTCAAACATTGTTATATAGCATACTAATTTTGCTCAACTTTCCAAGTAAAAAATACTTACGATATTTGGATGTGAAAGGCGTAAAAGTACACCGATTTCTGTCCGTACTATTTTCTTGTCTACCTAAGGGGAATAAAGAGAAATGTAAGTAAACATTGTAATAATCAGTGACAGTAACAATGACAGTCACTTGACTGCCGGTTTGTGACAATATAAGAAGTACACTAAAACAGAATCCCAGTATTACAACAGTACAAAACAGTAGAAACAAGGCTCCAACCTAAAACAGAACTCCAGGCAAAAATCACAAAATAGAAGTGAACAGTCAATTTAAAGATAAAGGGTCTATTTATTAATAGGCCAAGACTTTTCACCCAAAATTCACATATTTTTCAACTAAGCTTCAATAATGAAAATGTGTGAATCTTGGGTTAAAGTTGTGTGAATCCTGTAAAAAACATTGATAAATAACAAAACCAGCTTTTGCTGCTTTCACTAGATGTCTTCAGTCAGCAAACTTTCTCTGAATCCTGGACTCACCCCAGCCTTTGATGGACAATGAAAGCAATGCAATGATGAGCAGGACTGGATTCACCACAAGGCCACCAAGGCCTCGGGCGGCAGGGTGGCACAGCCTCTACTCCAAGGGTCTCAAAGTACTGGCCCGTGAACCGGTACCATTTGGCCCGCAGCTGGCTGTTCAGGTACGCTATACCTAACTTGTGGGAACAGCTACACGGTCTGCATCTCTGGGAAAAGAAAATTTGTCCAGTGGCCCCTGAGTTAATTGAGTTTGAGACCCCTGCTTTACTCCTTGCTTTAACACTGCATGAAAACATCAGCATCTTTTACATGCAGCATTAAAGCCTTTAATCACCGCGAGGTGATAGAGATTTAATTGGATCTTTTTAATAGACTGACAAGCTGTCAGCAAGCATGTGGCTGCCTATTAAATAAATCCATGTGTATTACCTGCAGCTCCACGATGATTAAAGGAGAAATATGAGGTGAGTGATTTTCACTCATCCTCATAGTTAGAACCGACGTGTGACAATGAAACTGGCTGTTTGAAACTGGCGGCGCTCTCAGTATATAGCGAGCTGTAGCCAGGGGCGGACTGGGCCGGGGGGGCAGGGTGGCAATTGCCCCCTGGGCCTCTCCGATGCCGTCACGTACAGCCCCCGTGACCCCCACTGTAGCCGGCATCCGATGCGGCATCTGCGATTGGCGGCCGCTGGGTCCTCGGCTTCTCGGGCGGCTCTCTACACTGCCTGATTAGAGGGCCGCTTCTGCTTGATCTAGACCTCCTCCCTGCCTCACATCACCGGACCATTCACACTAACGTTAAATGGATGGCAAAAGTGGCAGACGGGCAAGGAGAAGGCGGGGGGAAGAGGCAGAGCGGGAGGGAAGCCAAGTTGCTGCACCATGGGCCTCTAGGTTGTACTTGCCCCCTGGGCTAAAAGTTGCCAGTCAGCCCCTGGCTGTAGCTATATATACTGAGCTTTGGGTCATGGGAGGAGGTTAGTATATGTCCTCCCGTGACCCTTAAGAGAACTATGGAATCAAAAGATTACCCCATAGTTCTCTTTTAAAGGCTTTAGCCCTGCATGTAAAAGATGCTGATGTTTCCATTCAGTGTTAAAGCAAGGAGTAAAGGGGCGGCATTTTCGGATAAAAGCTCCTCACTGACAGGCTGTCACAGTGACCATGTGATTGGGAGCCTGTCCTACTGGGACGGGGGAGAAAGCTGGGAGATGGTCAGGCTGTGTCTTCTTCACCCTGGTTATCTGGAAGAGCAAGTGACCTGAGGCAGATGGAGGTTTTCTATCTGATGCTGCACTGTTGTTGTTTTTTTTTCATGCCTTGTAATGGGGATAAGGTGGGTGGTTGTGTGTGCTGCCAGTGCCCATTTACCTGTACATTACTATTGGGCTGTCTGTGTATTGCCACTGGGCAACATGTATATTGCCACAAATGAATGCCACTGGGCTACATGTATATTGCCACAAAAGCATTGTGCTGCAATGCTTTTATGTTGGAGACTTATTTCAGCAGTGCACCATGTACACAACTATTGCTTTTGCAATGCATTATGCACGCTTCTCCTTTCCTTCTCCCAAACTAAATTGCAGGGTCATGAGATTATAAAAGCTTCCAGGAATAAAAGTTTGCAATATGATGCAGCATGTATTACGTAGTATGTGAGGTTCAGCTTCTATGATGTCTTCTGATTTTTTTTTATAAGTGATTAATTTAAAAAATCCCACTTTTGGTATAAAAAACAAGGTTCCATAGGATTTAATAAACTTTATACAGGGTAATATTTAGCTAAATGAGCAATCTAAAAAGAAATGAAATTGACTGAATTCTTTCCTTTATGATGAGAACAACCCTTGTGGTTCCTGATTAGTGCAGCACAAGGAGGTGAATAATACAATCTTTTTGTTGTTTCAAGCTTGCTGTGAGATCAGAATTACAATTGCTCTGGATGGCTTACAAACCAGAGCAAGCAAGAATAATTTGAGAACAAAAGTAAATTTTTTCCTAAGGTACAAATGTTTTTCGTTTCTATTACTAAGAAGCCTCCAGCTGCTTTTCATTTTGCATTTCATGCCATTATTTTACAGTTATCAGAACAGATCTCCAGTTTTTCAGTAGTTGAAATAATAAAGGCAATCTAAAAAAAAAACAAGCTCTTTCTATGTCATTTATTTGATTTACAGATATATACATGCCAATTTGTATAACTCAGAAAAGCCTTAGACACAGCTCATAATCACATAATGTAATTGAAAGGTGTTATGGCGGCCAACTCTTTGAAAGTACAAAAGTATTTAACGATCAGACCTTACTAATCCATCCTTTCGGCCGGAGCTCAGAGCTGTCAGAACTCCGGCTGAACGGAGCTAGTGAGTGCCGGAGCTGACAGGACTGACTTGTCAGCTGGCTGCGTACCACATAGTACCGGTTCGCAGGCTGGAGCTGGCCTGCAGCCCAGTACTTTGAGACCACTGTTCTAGATAATTGCAGGCTTTTTATTTTTTGCATACTTTATTTCCCCCCCCCCAGTCTTCTGACAGTGGCCATTTTAACTAAGGGCAGGTTACAAGATCTCCCTTTACTTCCTGGAACTCTCGGACATGTGACTAGGACATGTGACCATGCACATAATCTCAGCGTTGGAAAATGCCTTTTCCCTGAGATCTCGTCAGATTACAGATGAGATTTCCCAGAAACGAACTGCTGATGTAACCTTCCCAGGATGCAATGCTTGGCACGATTACATCACTTGTGTCAAAGTGGCGCAGGAAGTGGAAAAAAATAAATTGCAAGTAAAATACAAATATGTTTGCCTAGCTAATGAATGTAAGCTGATTTCATATCAGCATGCAGAGCTGTATGCTAATGTGAATTTTAGTCAAAGGGAGTAAAGGTCCACTTTAAGGCTGCTGAATGGTTGTCAATTAAGAGAACCCAATGCTTTTCTCTGTATGTGGGGATGTTGCTAGATTCCTAAAAGTTGCAGAACACAACTGTGCAGTTAGGTTGAAATGTAGAATACCATAGTAAAAAGTGGTTGGGGCTTTTTCTTGTCCCTTTTCATACACCCTCTCTACCTTCTCTCTCTATTTATTTTTATTTTGCCTTCCTTCCTTCCTTCCTTCCTTCCAACCTACTTACTCTTTCTTGATGCACTTTTCTTCTGATAGATCTCTGATGCCAATGCTGACATGGATGTGAAGCGGAAGAACCTGGATTAAAAAAGGCCAACAAAAGTTGCTTGCAATGCCACAACTTTCACCACACCTTATATTATGCATCAGAAGTAATGCTCCACTTGGTAATGCCATTCATTGATACAAACATTCCTATTTGGGTCAGATGTGGTCTAATATTATCTTTTCTACCGCAGTAAACAAATGACACATACAGCAGTATTTTATAAATATGATGATGACATGACTAATATTAAAAATGTAATGTGTTATAACTGCTTAAAGTTACATTAAAGTCACAACCCCCACCCCCCCCCCCATTTTCAGGAGTCCCTCCAGCGATGATGCCAGTCTCTGATCCAACGCTGACTGATGTGTCTTCTGTAACCCATGGTGTCTATCCGTGTGCACGCTCCCGGCTGCGTGCATTGACTTACACTGTGTCTCTCCTCTTCTCCCGGTCGAAGGTCTCTACTGCGCATGCGCCGCGCCCCATGATCCTTCACAGCCGCTCAAGAATCTTCAGATCTTCGGACGGGAGCAAGCGGCGGAGACACAGGTAAGTAATTACTTATTTGGTAACTTTTTTATATTTTTTAAATGTTTTGCAAATATCTACTGCTTGCTAGCAGTAGACATATGCAAAAAAAATAAAAAATAAGTGTTTAATTCTACTTTAAAAGAAAAAAGGATCTATACATAATTGTTTTCAAACAAGATTCCCACAACTATTTGTATTAATTCCGGAAATTCTGTGAATCCTGGGTGAAAGCTGTGTGAGTCTTCTGGTAAAGCATTTATAAACAGACCCCTAAAAGTGTATAAAACATAGTTTGGCAAAGACTGATGTGTTTGCCTAGAGGACCATTCTTAGGATGACAGCGAAAATTACTGAAAAAGAATTCCAGTTGCTCAATAGAAGACCTGGGCCACACAACCTTTAGCATCACCCTTGCTTGCATGGGAAATATTATATTGTATATTTGTGAATGTTATGAGTAGATATATATGTTCGACATCATGAAAAAAACGATATAAGTTTCCTATTGTCATTTCAAATAAATTATGAGTAGTCTTTTATTTAAAAAAATTGTCAACTTACAGTTTTCTTTAACATTTTGACAGCAAAAGGCTTCGAAGTTCCTTTTTGTCTACATCTGTATACAACCGATGTTGCTCCCCTAGAAGAAAAATGTTTCAACTGTTATTGTTCCACACTGTAGTAGCATGTATTTGCAAAGATAACATTCCAGTGAAGGAGCATTTTATAAGCATGCTGTTCTTATTCACATAAAGGTGATGATTCAAGTTTAGTTTTAAGTGAACGCTTGAGTGCAAGAGTTAGGGCTTGTTCACACCAAGTGCAGAGCAGATGCAGAGCAGAGCAGTTACAGAATGCATCAAAAATGCCTCCAATGTATTCCAATGGTATTTTGGACTTGAGTTCACACCACAGCATTCAGCTCCAGGGCATGTGGAAAAACTGCAGCATGCCCTATTTTTTCCTGCTCTGGAACGCACCAAAACATCCAAACGCATCAAAAACGCATGCAAACACCATGGAACGCACTGCACTACACCTGAAAGCCCATTTTAGGCTAAAAAAATAAATAAAACTGACTGGAACATTGCAAAAACACGGCAAAACGCACAGCATATGCAGAAACTCATGCAGATCTGGTCCGGATTTGGTGTGAACAAGTCCTTACAGTGCAGATCACCAGCTCTGCATCTATATATACAAAGTTATAGAATTTTTTTTATAAAAGGCTAACCATACTTGTTTGCAGTGGGATAAGGCACCTTAGGACATTATAGATGTTTCTATCGGAGATCAGTATAAAGATTTGACTAAGGAGCTTTTCATTACTATGACTAAGTTAGAACATGCCATCATCTTCCTGGACTTAAAGAAAACATAATTACCAGCATGTAAATAGATAATACAGTTCCTGGCTATATAGTTGATGAGAATCTGTCCTAACCGTGTCAGCTGAGAGTTCCAACCACTATTGGAGATGTTATCCTGTGACCCCTATAAACGGTGCTAGTACATGTCACTGTACATGAAGCAGCACATACTGAATCTAATACTGTTCCATGGAGTCTGATGATAATAATGATCCCACAGGTTCCTTTAAAAAGGGACCTCCAACTTCCTGAAAAAGGATGTTTGGGAAGGTGAGCAAATCACTGGATCCACTGGACACAAGCGCAAAACCAGTGTGCCATCAATTATATACATAAGCTGCATGTAAGTCTGTGGACTCTGGAGATCAGGGTAATACAGTATATATATATGTCAGTGGAACTTGCAGTCAGTAGTCTAGAGATCAGGATAAAGAAGTTAAGAGGCATTTACATGGGCCATTCACTTTTTCTGCCAGGAGTTTACATGTTCTCCTTGTGCTTGCGTGGGTTTTCCCCGGGTACTCTGGTTTTCTCTCACACTCCAAAGACATGCTCAAAGACTAATTGTCTCCTGTCTAAATTGGCCCTTGTAAGTATGCATGTGAGATAGGGACAGGTCCAGGGAGTGATGTGAATGTGCAACTATGTAAAGCACTGTGCAAATTGTCGGCGCCATAGAAATACCTGTAATAAATAAATACTGTACATGCAAAAAAGACAATATAATTTCCCTTTCGGTTAAAAAAGGGAAAAGTGCAACCTGGATTACACTATCCAAAAGTCATGTTATTTTTATGCCCACTTGGCACAGACACTCATGTTCCACCCCCTCTGAACTCAAGGTAGGCATCAAGCTAGTTCTCAGTCTGACAACCCACTAGGGACAGGAAAGCTCAGTCTGTGTACCTTGTAAACACGTAAATGTACTTTTTGAAGACTGTGCAGCTGCATTCCATTATTGTGTATGAGTCAAATGGAGTGCAGTGTAGTTATCATTATGCAGGCCTATCTTTGTTCTACTTCCCAAATGCTAGGGCAATCCTAAACAAAAAAATTGTCATCTTACCCTGAAAGTAATTTTGGATGTAATCTTTACATGTTCTGCTGCTTGCTATTATTTTTCATGGCTCTATTTCATATAGTTTTGTAGGTTTTTTCCTTTAGTGGCTATCTGTATATCCAGTGATGTATTAATTATCCCTGCATAGCAACTGCTGATATTACCATTGCTGTACTGCTGCTTTTCAAATAAAGAGATCTTCTGGCACATTTATAAAGCACAGCGATCTGTGTTACATATGTGTTCTCTGCTTAGTTAAACGTCAGGAGAGAAAAGATGCAGGAGGAGGAGGAAATCAGTCATATTATTTGACGGGTCAGGTGATCATCTATGACATGACCTGGTATCTATCTATCTATCTATTGTAGCGCTCACCCCCGAAGGAGCCGCTGAATATTGCAATAGGTTCTCCTACCTGTTGGTTCCAGCGGCCAGTCCCCTTTGATCAGCAACAGCACACCGACACTCACGGACAGAACGGCTCGAGTCTTAGGGTCTTTTTAGGGTATTTATTTGCAACATCAATAGGAGAGAGAGGGTTTAGGATCTGTAGGATGCCATTTGGAAATACTTCTGAGGACAGCTTTCTCCCCTAGCAACCGCTAAGGCCGAAATCACTGCGATCTGGTCCCAGGGACCAATAGTAGTAGTAGTAGTAGTACTGTGAACAGATACCTGGAATAGGGTGTGGGATCTCCCTTGTGGGTCCCAGACGGACGCTCGCACCAGCTCCTCTGCGGTACCCCTCAACAAGCGGACTCCTCCCCGACCCAGCTTCCATCAGGTATTTTCCTCTTTAGGATCTGGAACTTCTGTGCCCTCAGCATCTGCAACTGCCAAGGAGCACTCCAGTTAAATGAGAGTATCTTCTTAGAACAAGGCACCCATCACCTGCCACGTGTATGGGCCCAGCAAAGTATCAGTGTATCCTAGGCCTCTAGGTCCCTCAGCACCTGCCATGTGCTGAGGCCCAGGCCAGTTTCCTGCATCACACACAGTCCTCCTAGGGCGAGGCCCCTAGGGGAAGAGAGCTCTCCACAATGTCCCCAGACCTTTTATCACCTGCCCTCAACCATGCCTCTGAGTCATCCTACTCAGGGATTGGCTAGGGCCAGGTGCATAGTCATAACCTGAGGGTGGATCCTCCCTCACTGTATGCCAAGGCTCCCTTTTCCTCAGCAACAGGAGGAGCAATCGATCCAGCAGACTCAGGGACACCTATAGAATGCAGAGCTCTGTATAATCAGTATCTAGACTGGTTACAGTCCAGGTATCTCTAAATTGAATAGTGACATTTTAGAGGGCGCTACACTATCTATCTATCTATCTATCTATCTATCTATCTATCTATCTATCTATCTATCTATCTATACCCTTATCTTATATATCTCATCTCTTATATTATATTCTCTACAGAGTTATTCAAATAGTGTTCTACAGAAGAAGGCAGGCTCTGCACTGCACACTGTATTTTATCAAAGACATGTAAAATGCAGGAGCAGGATGGAGTAAACAGTGGGGTGTCTTGCAGAGAATGCATAGCCATAGCTACACTGTGTTTAAATTTGCCCATAGTATAGGATGACTGATAAAGAGGAACAGATAAGCAAACTATGTCAGTATGACCGCGCAGGAAAAAGTGTTTATCATTCCCTTTGAAATAAAAAAAGATGATTCCGTAAATGAATTGCTTGAATTCTTACAAAAATGGAGTCATCAGCTATATTTATAAGAATTATTCAGTTGAACCTAGGAAAAGCATTCCTCTGATAATGAATAGAAGGCAAGGCTTTATTTCTAGTCTAAAACTCACCCTTTTGTTGAGGAGGTGAACTTTGTAATGGTCCTCTATGTCTTAGATGCACACATTCATCTCACTCTTTCACTAATTGAACCATTTGCTTAACAATACTAAAGTAATTTCCTTTCTGACATTTAGCAAGTTTCCACCATGAAGAATACGTATGTTCATGTAACTCAAAAGATAAAGATTGGCTGTTTTTATTTTCAACTTTAAATATCTTTGGCTTTGTAGACTAAGGACATCTTTTTTTTATCAACACACCCTGGTGTGGCAATGTGTTAACCTGCATTGTACAAAAAGGCAAGAACATGTATATTTGGTCACTTTATTTTGTAGGAAACACATATTCACTGATACAAAGAGAATAAAATTGATGCAAGTAAACTGACAATAATGTAAGAGGGTCATACAGATTTTATTGCAAAATGTGTGTACAGAAATGAATTGGCATGTTTTAGAGGATTCCTGTACTTGGGTGGAGATGTTGAGTGCTGAAAGACCTGTGTTTCACCAATGGGCAAATTATTTAGGATATGTACGGGTCTATTCACAAAGTAGCCCAAGGATCCAGCCGTAGCTTCGGCTGATCCTTCGGCTCTCTTCAGCCGCTGGAGCCCTTCGGTTCAGTCGAACCGAAGGGCTCCTGTACGGGCTATTCACAGCAAGGGCCAACAGCCAGCCGAAAGTACGATAATCGCCAGGTGTATGGAAGGCGCGCAACCGTTTCTACTGTACGGTCGCACGTCTTTTGTCTTCCGAGCACGCTTGAAACCCTGCCGAAAAGCGTAAGATTTTCGGCGTGTTAGTGGCGTGCTCGGAAGACAAATACTAAACAGGCCGGTGTGCGCAGGCGCACACTGCCCGCTCAGCATTGGAATCATCCGAAGTCCTCCTCTCAGCGGGGAGGGCTTGCGATGATCGCAAGTACGATCTGCCTGTCCAAGATGGGCAGATCGTACGAGATTTTAATTACCTTACCACCATCGCACAACGAAAGTCGTGCAATGGTTGTAAGGTGTATGGCCAGCTTAACACTCTCTCCTAGTTGATACTGAGCAATAGATATTGAAAAAAACCCTACGACTCGAGCCTGTTCTTGCCTACAAGTGTTGGTGTTGCTGGAGCTAAGGAAAAGGGCTAGTGCATAACAAACAGGTAGGAGAACCATAATTCATATCCAGTGGCTCCTTCGGGGTGAGTGCTACACTTACATTAAGTTGAAAAAACTTAGTGTAAAGGTGCCCATACACCTTACGATTATCGTACGATAATCGTATGCGATCGACTTTTCGTACGACAATCGTAACGTGTGAATAGAGTGCCCGACCGATAGTACTGTACAATCGTACGACTTTTGACGGTCAAGCATGTTTGAAAACTTTGGTTGATCGTACGATGTTCGCATG